GAAGTCAGTCGGTTTCACCTCTGGCTTCATGCAGGTGTTTGGCATGTGGGTGATGTACACTCACCAGTGTGGACCCACACTTGCCCCAAGGCAGACATCCACGTGCTTCGCATTTTGGAGGGCACGCCTCTGAACCAGAAGCACGGGCCTGCTGATCTTCTTCTCCCCGAGATTTTTCGCTCGATCTCGTGCCTTCGAGTGGGAGAATGCGTGAGGATGGATGTGCATTGCTCAGGTTCCCTTCATGTCGAATGGCTTCTCACGGGTCGCCAGACAGAACATGTGATCGTCCGTCGGGGTGCCTGCCCTTGGTGGCTGCCGGCAAACACGCCCACGCTTGAACTCAGTGCTGACTCTGGTGAATAGGATCTAAATGTTGTTTTGACTCGCGGGTAATCTGCGAAGCTGCAACACGAGGGGCTCCTTTTTTCTGTACAGAATGTTGGTCCTCGCCGAACTCGCGTTCTCTCTGTTTGCTTGGTCAGATAGCTCCTTGCTGTGGAAAATTGCTCGAAGCTGATTATTGAGATGCCATTTTGATTGTCATACTGGGTCCATGCACTCAAGTACAAGCTGGACATGTGAGCTCCCCTGGAGCCTGAGGGGGCCACTAGATGACCTTGCGTTTCAATCTAAGCCAAGACAACGCTCTTTGTGATCTTGGTGGCCTTGTTTGTGGGTCGGGTGTTTGGGTCGTCTTTTCGCAGGGCCCCCTTTTCCTGAGGCATGAACCGGACCATCGCTCGGGCTGTGGGTGGGCGCGATGCTTCCGGTTCGTGACCTGGTTTGGTTTTTTGGCAGCTGGTTTGTGGTGGTGTGTTTGGCCCCGTCCCCTGGTTCGGTGTGTTCGTTTGGTTTGTTCTTGTTGTTGCCACTTGAAAGATCGGACGCGTTGCAAAGAATGATCCACTAGAATCTCATGCCCGGCTCAACACGAGCCACTACTTGCGAGGCTGCGCCCGCAAAAAAAAAGAAGGAGGCACAGCGCCGCAGGCTCGGCTGCCGAGCTCCTTTGCTCATGGAGCGTCGCCCCAGCGCAAGCCCTTCGCTTCATCTGGATTTCCAAATCCCGAGGGCCACTACTTGCGAGGCTGCGCCCGCAAAAAAAAAGAAGGAGGCACAGCGCCGCAGGCTCGGCTGCCGAGCTCCTTTGCTCATGGAGCGTCGCCCCAGCGCAAGCCCTTCGCTTCATCTGGATTTCCAAATCCCAAGATGAAGAGGGATGATAGGAAGGGAAAGGGATGGAATGTAGATGAAAGAGGATTCACTCGTCAGCGGTTTCCATCTCTCCCGCTGTATCTCTTCCTTTCACTTCCTTCTACATCCATCCCACGGGCTCATCTAGAGATGAAAAAGGCCGGGAAAGGAATGGATGGAGACAAAGAAGTGAGGAAGCCTCCATCATATTGTCGTTACAGCGGGTTAAAGGAGCTGGTAAGAAGGGAAATAATCAGATGGCATGTGGTTGGTTCTCTCTTTCTTTCTTTCTTTCTTTCTTTCTTTCTTTCTTTCTTTCTTTCTTTCTTTCTTTCTTTCTTTCTTTCTATCTTTCTTTCTTTCTTTCTTTCTTTCTTTCTTTCTTTCTTTCTTTCTTTCTATCTTTCTCTCTTTCTCTCTTTCTATTCTTTCTATCTTTCTCTCTCTTTCTCACTCTTTCCTCTCCTCTTTCCTCTCTTTCTCCCCCTCCCACCGTTCCCACTCTTTCCCCTCTCTTTCTTTCCCATCATTCACTCATTTCTCTCTATCTCTCTCTTTCTCTCTTTCCCTTCTCTATCTTTCCCTCTTAATCTCTCTTTCGCTTTCTCTCTTTCTTCTCTCTTTCCCTCTCCTCTCTCACTCTCTCTCTCATCTCTCACCTCCCTCCCTCCCGCCCGCCCTCCTCCCTCCTTCCCTCCCTCCCCTCCCTCCCTCCCCTCCCCTCCCTCCCTCCCACCCTCCCTCCCATCCCTCCCCTCCCTCCCTCCCACCCTCCCTCCCTCCCTCCCTCCCTCCCTCCCTCCCTCCCTCTCCTCCCTCCCTCCCTCCTCCACTCCCTCCCTCCGCTCCCTCCCTCCCTCCCTCCTCCCTCCCCTCCCTCCCCCCATCCCCCCCCCCTCCCTCCCTCCCTCCCTCCCTCCCTCCCTGGCCGGAGCTGCGGGAGCGTACATCGCGTGCTACTTTTCTACTTAAAACTTGCCATTCTCAGGCCGGAGGTGCGGGAGCGCGCTTCGCATACTACTTTTGTACTTAATTTTAACGAAAACCACAGCGAGAGCGATCCGACACGCACGATCCCCGCAGAGGGTTCGTCGGTCAGCGTGCAAATTCGCACGGCGCCACAGCGAGAGCGATCCGTCACGTACGATCCCCGCAGAGGGTTCATCGGCCAGCGTGCAAATTCGCACGGCGCCACAGCGAACGCAACGATCCCCGCAGAGGGTTCGTCGGCGACGTAGAAAATTCGCACGGCGCAATAGCGAGAGCGAACACGCACGATCCCTGCAGAGGGTTCGTCGGCCACGTAGAAAGTGCACACGGCGCCACAGCGAGAGCGCTCCGACAAGCACGATCCACGCAGAGGGTTCGTCGGCCACGTAGAAAGTTCGCATCGCGCCACAGCGAGAGCGCTCCGACACGCACGATCCCCGCAGAGGGTTCGTCGGCCACGTAGAAAGTTCGCACGGCGCCACAGCGAGAGCGCTCCGACATGCACGATCCCCGCAGAGGGTTCGTCGGCCACGTAGAAAGTTCGCACGGCGCCACAGCGAGAGCGCTCCGACACGCACGATCCCCGCAGAGGGTTCGTCGGCGACGTAGAAAATCCGCACGGCGCCACAGCGAGAGCGCTCCGACGCGCGATCCCTGCAGAGGGTTCATCCCCCCCAGCGCCCGCCAGACCTGCCCCCTCACTTACGCAGCCTGACCTACGCAGCCTGACTCTCGCAGCTTGACTTACGCAGCCTGACTTACGCAGCCTGACTTACGCAGTATGCAGTCTGACTTGCGCAGTCTGACTTACGCAGCCTGACATACGCAGCCTGAGTTACGCAGCCTAGCTCACGCAGCTTGACTTACGCAGCCTAGCTTACGCAGCCTGACTTACACAGCCTAGCTTACCCAGCCGAAGCTCGTAGCCTTTAAGAGAGAAAGAGAGAAAGAGAGAAAGAGAGAAAGAAAGAGAGAAAGATAAAGAGAGAGAGAGAGAGAGAAAGAGAGAAAAAGAGAGAGAGAGAGAGAAAGAGAGAAAGAGAGAAAGAGAAAGAGAAGGAGAAAGAGAAAGAGAGAAAGAGAAATAGAAAGAGAAAAGAGAAAAGAGAAAGAGAGAAAGAGAGAAAGAGAGAAAGAGAGAAAGAGAAAAAGAGAGAAAGAGAGAGGAGAAAGAGAGAGAGAGAGAGAGAGAGAGAAAGATAAACAGAGAGAGAGAGAGAGAAGCAGTGTATATATATATATATATATACATATATATATATATATTTAACATCATAGATATACCCCAACATCATTGCTTTCGGGATAATCGGTGTCTAGTAGTAAAGGGGAAGCATCATTCCAGGGTTTCTTAGGTGGTGCAGGATTTCGTCCATCCACAGTATCATTCATTGTATACGTGCGACCATGTTGCATTGGCCGTCTCGCCCTTCCAGAGTAAGCCCATCATGCACCAACTCATTGGACTCATGCCGTCACTTTGCAGGATTCAAGAGTGGTGTTGACCGTAAAGCCAGTCGGCGGCTTATTTGCGGAGGAACCACGTTTGTAATCAGGAACCTACCTAGGTGTACAATGACAGCCAACAAGAGATTCCAATGTATGTAGGGCTTAATGAACTGAGTTCATGCAGGTTGGAGCTTGCCAGGACACTGTGTCGCCCGCAAGACACCTGGTCTCCTGCTGAAAGTTGGTCAAGTTTGAGCATCCTGACTCTAGGATTTTCCGATGGAGGCACCTCGACATTTTCTGGGAAGCCTCGAAGAGGAATCCCCAGCACGATGTAGAACGAAGCAAATATGATTTGTGGAGGGGCTTCCATGGGAGGGGCTGTGTTTTCACCCCGGCGTTTCTTCCATAGGAGGGCTGGGAGCCGTGGTTGTGAGGCCTCGGGGGGCTCGCTGTGCAGCCCTGCGGCGCGTATCGGCAGCGTCTTCTTGACAGAGCGCCTCGGCGGGCATTGGATTCATCATGCTGGTGGATTTTAAAGGGGGTGTTGTGAGGAACAAATAGCGAAGTGACTAGTGGGAAAGATGGGGCAGGTGGTGAAAAAGAATCGGGGGAGCTGGGGGGAATGGGAGGCTACGCAGAAAGTCACACGTTTGCCCTTTGCTAAAGCCCGACAGGAGAAACTCCATCATGCCAACTGGCTGTGGCTCAAATACATGTACCAAAATGGAACCTTGGTAAACGGAACCAAAGACTAAATCTGCGTAACCCTGGCTGCTTATTTGTGAGCCGCGCACACACCACTCTGGGACGCTTTGAATGCCTTGGCAACAGCCAGCTGCAGGTCCCTTGTGCCTGCTTGGGAGCTGAGGATTCAGCATATGCATTCCGAGAAGAGAGGCTTTGAGGCCGAGCGTGCTGGCCTGTTAAAGCATTTCGGCTATGTCACCTTTGCCCTGATGCTGGTGGCCCTCGGCATGCTGGGCTGCTACGCCGCCTTTTCCCTGGGATTTGTGAAATGAGAAGGTGACAGTGTTTCCTAGCTGGGCAGTGAGAGGCTGCCGAAATTGGCGGATGCGTTCTGCCCAAGCGATGTTCTGAGCGCCTCACTGCGGATGTGGTTGACAAAGCGCGAACCGGATCTGCGAGATGTGCGCAACTGAGTTCCTCAATGCAGCCCTGCTCCAAAGCCAAACTTCTGTTTTATTTTTTCCCTTCTTGCTTAGGGGTGTCTGGATCAAAGACACGCAGAGTTTGGACTTGTAAACCCTGTCATTTGAACCCACATGTGGGGCTTTGAGCGTTTCGCCAGCGCCTGGTGCACTAAGAGAACCTCAGGCAGGCGTGCCCTGCGCGAATCGAAGGCACCCGACTACCACTTACTGCACGGGCTCCTCATCCCCTGCGGAATGGAAGGCCGATGCCTAGGCGGGGGGGCAGGTTGAATGAAAATGGTATCTCCGAGTCGGGCGGTGGACATGGGTTGAATTAATCATTTGACGGTCCAAGGCAAAAAGCAACAACGACGACCCCCCCCAAATTTGGACACGGTCCGTTTGATGTCGGCCACTTTCATCTCTTCTCAACGTGCCTGAGGCGTGAGCCCCACATCACCTCAGCGAGATGCGCGATTTGGATCGGCTTCTTTTTTCTCACGAAAGCCATAAGGAGGGTTTTTCATGAGGTCAGCATGCCTCGTGGCGTCGTCCTGAATTCCTCACCGTGAGCGATCTTCAGGCCACATCCCTCCCAAGTCCGTGGTGGCGCACCAACACAGACAGTCCGTTGCGACCACCAAAACGGTCACCATTGCAGCTCTCGTTTCATGTGCAAGTTTGATGTTTGATGCAGGTGGCGGGAAGCTCAACCTATTGTGGCGCGGAGTCTCGCCCAAAAGTCCCTCGTTTGACCGACGAGCATTGACTGATTTTGGAATTTGCCCAAATGAGTTGGAAAAGTTTGGTGACTTCGGAGAACAGGAAACTGGGGGTCCAGGCGTCTTTGATCCACAGCAGTTTGACGCGTCCACCGTCCCGTCCGCCGATCAGCCCGAGAGCCAGGTGAGAATCAATGTCTCGGGAACAGCGCCTCGCCTGCATGTAGCAACCGCAAGGGTGAGTGGAAAGGGTCGTGAGGTTCCGACACGCAGACACACACACACACATACTGTGGATTGACATTTTGTTTTCACCTAAGTATCTCTGGAATGATGATTCCGCTGTAATTACCAACCAACCGTTGCTTTTTCGTGGCTTCAAAGTGGTACAGAATTTCGTCCATGCACAGTCAATGTGTTGTCAGTTGGGAGGGGGGGAGCTCTGCTGCTTTTTGTCAGAAACGCTTATCGTTTTCGCCGGAGCTGAGACAAGTGCATTTCATGGAGCGAAATGCAGGTTCCAAGCCCCAAGTTGCCGGGTTAGAAGAGCCGCTCCGGTTTTGTATGTGGAACTTGGTTAGTTTACGATGTTTTCCCAAGAGCAGTCTTTGGACGCCTTTCATCTTTTTGCCGCGCAGGTGACGGAGCGCTGTGTGCGCAGTGCAAGGAGGGCGCCCTGCAGAAATTGGAAGGGGTGGGAAGGGACATGTGAGGGGAGGCAGGGAGGAGAGATGGAAGGGAGGGACAATTCTGTCCTCTCGTCATCTGCTTTGGAACGCTGTTGCACTTGTGACCATGCAAGAGACCGTAAATCTTGTGGTCAGTGCATATGCCTGACAGAACCCCAAGTACTTGTCTGAGGACACGTCCCAGACCCAAACTATCGGGTTCCATGGTCGTTTTGAGGTCCTTCCGGAGGTCAGAAGTTGGAATCTTGAGATGCCCGACGCTAGGTGAGTTGATTTGGGGAATCCGGGCCAGAGCATGGCCTGGCAGTGGCTGGCTTTCGCTTTCCCCTTCTGGCAACCAACGCCAATTGGTTTCCCACCTTAAAAGCCACACACCCTTCCTCACCGAATGGACACATCTGGCTGTGGGTCTTGGCTTCAGCTCTCAAAGTGCTCCAGGAGGTTTGAGCCAGGGGAAGCAGAGAGAAACCGGTGGCACGGGTCTGCAATTTTCGAGACTTTTCAGCCGATTCCTTGAGGGCTGGAGGGAACCAAAGCCATGCACGCCGCCCACCAGTCGCTCTCTGCCCGCTACGACTATGACTTTTGATGTCCGTTGTCCGGCACTGAGGCTACACCTCCGATCCCGAGCGCGAATTGCTGGAAGCAGACCCCTGTCGACCTTGCGCCTTGGAGAAGATGCCCATGGCTTGTGGAGGATTTCAGATTTGGTGGGCGGGCGGGTGAGGTGGGCAGTGGTGGATTGGTGGAAGTTGGAGGGTTGGTGGATGTTGGAGGGCACGAGTGTGGTTGGTGGGCGTGGTTCGTGTTTGTTTTTCTGTTTGGTTTGCTTGTTTGCTTGCTTGCTCGTTTGTGTGTGTTTGTTTGTTTGTTTGTTTGTTTGTTTGTTTGTTTGTTTGTTTGTTTGTAATTTCTTGTTTGTCTGTCTGGCTGTATGTCTGTCCGCCCGCCGCCTGCCTGCCTGCCTGTCTGCCTGTCTACCTGCCTGCCTGCCTGTCTGCCTGTCTACCTGCCTGCCTGCCTGTCTGTCTGTTTGTCCGTCTGTCTGTCTGTCTGTCTGTGTGTCTGTCCGTCCGTCCGTCCGTCCGTCCGTCCCTCTGTCTATTTGTCTGCTTGTTTGTTTGTTTGTTTGTTCTGCCGTCTGCTTGCTTGTTTGCTTGTGTGTCTGTTCTGTATATGTGGCAATGGCTCAACAACACGTTCCAAAATGGCACCTTGGTACATGGAATCAAAGACTGAAACCTGCATAACCCTGGCTCTCCAGTTTTGAGCCACACCCATGTAATGTAGTGTAGTGTAGTGCAATGCAATGTCGTGTAATGTAATGTAATGCAATGTAATGTACTGTAATGCATGTTTGCATGCTTGTATGGTAGTTTGTTGCTGACACCGCCGCTGGGCGCCTGGTCATTTCGTGCCTTTGTAGGTATTCGTTGTCCTGCACAACGACTGCACAAGTGCTGGATCAAATGATAATAAACACGCTCACACGCATCCACAACCACTGCACCCATGCTGGCACGACGGGTTTGCTTCTTTGACAAAGGAGAGGCATGTCGATTTTTCTCTGAGTTCGGGGCAAGTCTCTTCGAGCAGTTTTGCAGAGCATTTTGCTGACAACCTGGGCCAACACAGTGGATTGAGGACATGTGGCGTTTATTTTACTCGCACCAGGCACCCTATGGCGGTGTGACCAGTTACTTTGTTGGTATGCTCGTATGTTTGTACGTTTGTATGTAATATAATGTCATGTAAGCAATGGAATGCAACGTAGTGCCATGCCATGCCATGACATGTCATGTTACGACACGTCGCTTTGCGCTGGCTTTGCTTTGTTTTCGGTTGTTTTGTTTTGTACCCCATCCCTTTGCTTTCGCTAGTTAATGCGGATGATAGCTTTTGATCGCCGAGCAGACAACCGCGGCTGGCGGTTTAGACCCGCGACAGTGGGGAATGTGTCAGAAGCAGAAATGCAACATGTTTGAGCGGCTGCAACTACCACGGGCCTGCCGCAAGCACTTGCCAACGATTGTGTGCAAACAACTATTTCCTATGAAGAGTCTGTAGTCAAGGGGCACCAAATTACCGGAGGAGGTGTGGAATTGCTCACCATGTCTTTTTCCTGCGAGGCGAGCAAGAGTGGGCAGACAAGTGGCATCGCATCATCATTGGCTGCTGCGGCCTGGCCCATTTGTCCCCGATCAAGGTATTGGACCTGTTCCAAAGGACTTCCTTCTCCCCTCGGAAGCTATTTTGCAAAGGCTGTAGGTATTGTACATGCACGTGTGAGGATCGGGGGTCCAGATGCAAACAGGCAGAATGTCAGGGAGTTAAAACATCAAGACGAAGATCGGAAGAAAGATTGCGAGCTTCAGTCAGGCAGTCATCATTTCCTTTACCACCTTTCCCAGTCTTCAGATGTGCCTTCTGAGGGAGAGTCGTTCTTGTCTAGCTGTTGGCGCATGTTCGCGAGTGGCATTTTGCAGTGCGTGACTACTCGGATCCCTTAACCAATTTGGTCTAAAAATGCATTTCACACTTTTGACACATAGCGGTTGTATACTCTTTAGTGGACCATTTTGACAAGTCGTCTGTCTGCCTCACCTATCCTCTTTCCACACAGTGCCCAGGAACCATTGGCACATCCTCTTAGCCATGGCAGCTAGAGAAGAGCCGTTGCTGGATAGAGCATTGTCATGGATAGTGATTTCTTGCAATCTTGCCAGATCAACGAACTGATGGGAGTCGCTTTATCAGCATTGGGGCTGCTTTGCAGGGACCGGACATCCATGGCCAAGGTGCTTGCCCAGCGCATTTGTCCGCCTTGCTCAGTCTTCCCCCACTACCCCCACTACCCAAAGTGGTGAAAGCTCAACCAGGACCCTTTGCCAAGGAAGGTGGGTTTGTTGCGTTGCACATACCAGAGACGACAACTAAAAGTGAAAGCTTTGATACATCAGGTTTTCCTCACCAAAAAGGAGCCAAAAGTCTAAGACACCGCGAGCGAGTGAGCGAGTGGAGATGTCCGCCGGCCGAGGCGTTTACCTGGCTGCCTACTTCATTCTGCTGACGGCACACTGGAATGCATGCGCCTGGACTGCATCACTTCAGCTCGTTTGGTACATAACACAACCGTTGGAGGCGAGGCACCAGGGCATGCAAATTCGTGAATTCGTTTGCTTGGACTGGGCCAGCCTTTGTGGGCCAAGGTTGGTCGAAATCCCGTTGCAAGGGCTTCTGAAGGCCATTTCAGCTTGCAGAGGAATTGGTTTGCGGATCTCCGAAACTGCGTGGGGTTCCATTTGGAGCTGGTGGCCCTTTGTGGCTTTCGGACTTCTTGGGCATTCGCGGCCCCGAGGTGATTCCCTGATGTCCACCTCGGTCTTCATTTGGAGGCGTCTGCTTTTTTAGTTGTGGCTGCGCCTCTCAGAGCAGGCCGGCTTTACTTAGCTTCAAAGGCCTCATTCTTGGGTTGTAGTTTCAAGATCCAGGGCCCTCCAAATGTTGCTTCTTGCGTCTCTCCCATTTTTGGTGTTGGCTTTTGCCTTCGCAGGGCACTGGTGAACCACCTGCACTTCACTTCCATCACGGTCCAGGCCTGACCCTATCCCTTGAATGGCGGAGGTCTCGACAAATTTGGGAGGCGATGGAAAGGCACCGGTCTCCTTTCAGGCCAGTTTTGCAGAAGAAACTGGCACCGGAGTCAGCTTGCCACTCGTGTCGATTACGGGAGGCTACCGGCAAGGGCTTTGTGGTGGTCACCCTGCTGCAGACTCGGGCCCGGGAGCACAAGTCTGCCAGGTGTTCTTGTGATCTTTATGAGGGGTCAAGTAATCAATAAGATCTTGCTTCTATGATTGTGACTTCATTTGACTTTAAGTTACAACCCTACTCTAGATCTTTCGGCGCTTATGCTACGAGGTGGGCAAGAGAACATGGTCCCCCAATTGCAGGGTCCCCCCTTCATAGCAGTTAGCAGTTTCGAAGAAGGCATGTTTGGCACCCTGGTATATATATATATATATGTTTTGTTTTCTCCTTTTTTGCAGCTGCCGAAAGTTGCTGCCGGTCGCATTTCTGTCGGACTTGGCTGCTGCTCTTGATTGGATGTTTCAGTGAATCGGTGTGGTCCAGGCAGAACGTTGGCATGTGGGGGATGCAAACGGAGCGCTTGGACCGGTGGCTGGGCTGGGGTGGGGTTTGCCGCTTGACCGAGGGCAGGATTGATGGGGTTTCAATGAAAGGAGAGGCACGCTCCGAGCGTGTCTCGTGTTTCACTGACCTGTGACACTAATCCAGATTTGCTGGGAAGAACGCCCAAGCCTTGTGGGCGTGTTCTTGGGGGCATCTTCCATGGCTTTCGCTTCCGGAGGAAGGCCACTCGCATGTCAGGACTACTTTCTGGGGCTCACTCAGCTGGTGCTGCGCCTTGGGTTCGAATTGGTGATTGGTTACTTAAAAGGGGCAGGGTACGTCAGGTAAGTGGGTCATAACCCTGGGTTATAACCCACTTGCCATGGATATAAGTCTCCCAAGTGGCTTATAACGAGGCTTACTACCCGCTTACTAAGCACCCTCCCCCTTTGAATACCCTATATGACAGCTAAGAGATCTGCAAGTCCCTTCAAGACGAACTGAACCTTGCAGCCACCCTCGCAGGCGCCTTCTGTTACTGAAAGGAAGTTGTTTGTGGCAAATGGAGAGGTCTGAGCAGCTTGCATAGGAAGCGGTTCCGCTGGCAAAGTTGGTTGAACAGTCGCTGATTCTCTCTGCAGGTGAAACCAAAAGGAGACAGCTTGAATCATACAGAGATATTGCCACATGTCCAGGTGAGCGCTTTGCCGGAGGGTGTCCTTCTTGGCCGGAGGGAACAGGGGGCAACCCACAGCCACGCCGCTGGCCTGCTTTTGATGGTAGGTGGAGCTCGGGAATTTCCGGTGTCGGCTAGGGCTGCCACCAGCTGGTAGCGCCCTGGCGCCAGACTTCGCGGTGAGCAACCTCACAGGAGGCCTGACGCCAACGAGGCGGCCCTCGGCGGCCTCATCACGATTCTGATCACTTTCAGGTGGGACCCATACCCCGGAAGGGCAGGCTTCAGGCAGCAACCGTGCACCTGAGTGGCAGGCCTGACAAGACTGGGGGCACCCAAGTCGCCGAGAAGAGCCGCGACGGCGTGATGCTGCTCACCTTTGGCGGCCTGGGCCACAAGCAGACCTCCATCTTGAGCTCAGTTGGCAACGTCTGGCTTTTAGAAGACGCCTGTGCCATGAGGCTTGAGTTTTCCGGTCGCTGCAAAGCGGTGCGGCCTTGGGGTTGTGGCCCAGACTCAGCGATGGAGACGAAGGGGGCAGGAGGCCCCCCTCATGTGGAGGAGGAGACTACGAGCCAGACAGGCCGATTGCTGAGCCACCGACAACAAGGGCCAGATCAGTACCTACGGGCTCCGGCAAGGTGAAGCACAACAACATCTGCAGCAACAACCCTTCTTCCCCATGCCTGGCATAGATCCGGTCGTCGCGGAGCTTGCTTGGCGTAAGACGTCGGACCATGCGCGAACTGCGCCGAAGTGGCCGTCCAGAGCCCCACCCACCTTGCTTGGTGGCCTCGGAGGGGCGGCAAGTCATCGCCATCATCACCGCCTGTGTCAGGTGGTGGTGGCAGCGGACATGCCTGGAGGACGAGGAGCTCACCAACCCAAAGCGCTACGTGATCAGACGGAGGAGCAGATCGCGAACCTGCTCAGCGACGCGAGAGTGGCGAATCCCTTTCGAAACCCGGCTCTTTTGTGGAGTTAGTTGCCTGGCGAGGTTTGTGGGAAGGCCGGGGGCATGGTCAAATGGAATGAATGGCGCTTTGCTCAGCCGCAGAAGTCTCCTTTTCCTCCTGTTGGAGCGTGTGCGGCGGTGAAACTGGGCCAAACTGAAAGGGGCCGGCCCAGCGCCGTATAGTTGATTCTCCAAATAAGGGCAACGCTCAATTACGTCAACTACGTTGGGTTTGTCTTGCAAACAAAGGGAATCGACGGCTAAGGGACCCCCTCGGGACCATCCCCATCAACTGCCTCATCCCCAGCTGGAACCTCTACGAGGCGCCGATGCGCTTGCCGCTGTCCAAATTGGGATGTGGAAAAACGATGGGTGCAGGGTGCCCCGTTGTTGGGGTGGTCTCAACTGGAAGCCAAGATGAGGAAAAGGACCATTTTCAGGAATTCCTGATTGTTGAGACAAACCCATAATATGATATCGAAGTAGTTATTTCGCGTGTAGAAAGTGCAATGATGTGTTAGGTTACGTATTTTGTCGGGAGTGTGGGCGATTTTTAAGCCGGCTAGGAGAGGGGTCATCACACTCAGCCAATCAGGCAGTGCCGCATCCGCCTCGGGTAGAGCACGCGCGGTAAAATAACACTGGGGACGTTGACTTTGGCAAGCGAAAGACCCGCTTCTTCCAGCTTAGTCGCATATTCTTGCAGATAGAAGGCGTGCTGGTTTGCGAGACGGCTCAAGCCGCCACGTTGCAGATTGACAGAGTTTGTCCGCTTTTCTGGTTTGGCAGGTCCTGCGGCAATCATGTTCACACATTGGCACCTTTGAAGGCATGCTGCTCTGAAGGCCACCCATGTTTGTTGGAGAGGGGACGTAACAGCATGGGTTTCCCAATAGTAGCATGGGGGTCGGTGGACACAAGTTCCCGCAGAAACGATGTCCCATGATGTCCCCCAAATGGTCCCCAATTAAACAACATACCCGCATGGGCATGTAGATTTGATGTAACACGCGAAATCTAGATGCATAATTGTTGCTTACGTGCTGTTCTGCTGTGGTGATTGGCCCGGCCCAGTCAATTTTCCAATGCCAGACGTTGAGTGGTTGGAGACTCAACATGGGGTGTCAACGCTTTTCGACTTACAGGACTCCAGAAGATGTGTCAAAGCCATGACAACACAAGCACAGGGCGGCTGTATGGGGTTGTGCTTGTTTTTTCTCCTTTTTTTCTCCGTACCCGCTTGGCTTGGGTAAAGGCGTGGGAAAGGACGTATTTGTCGAGGTCTAATTTTACAGATGCCAGCCAGGTGCAGGCCTTGCTGGGCCTTTGCATCATCCCGGCGGTGGTGATCACTAGTGCGACGCTCTTCAGTCTTTGGGAGCCGGAGACCCAAGGAAGTTGGTAGCGCAAAGTGAAGTTGCTTGGGGACTCGGTGGAGATGATATTTACATGGATTTGGAGTATGCAAAAAAAAGGCCACATGGCACAGGGGACGGGGGGATGGTTCCCGGCTGATTTGCTGATGCCGTGGATCAGGCAGCCTGCGTGCGTTTCACCAGCTCGCCCGAAGATGCGAGAGGTTCATCCTTTGCCCGCTGCTGCAGATTGTGCTGCCAAAGGAGGCTGGCCTGCCGGTTGGGAAGGCCGAAGTGGGTGCCTGAACGGACTTGGCGGGGATCAAACCTGGCCGAAGACCTTTGTCTTGTATCCTGTTCAAAAGTTTAGTTTGCCCTTTGCACCTTTGACTTCTTTGGGCAAATGTAAGTCTTCCTTTCTTTTTTTTACCAACCAGCTTAAACGTTGGCAAAGGGCAGCAACCAGTTGGTTCGATTTTCGAAAGTCGAACGCCTGGCAGAAATCCGAAGCAATATCGGATATTGAAGAACGGCAACAGGTGCCTATGTTGTAGTCAGTTTCAAAACACGCAAACCATATACAGATTGCGCGGCTCTCACAGGCTCGTCGGTCGAATGGTCCTGATTCGAGTGACTCTGACCACTGCTTCCATCATCTCTGTTCTGGCTCTCGCCGCTTTTTTTTGTCAAATTGTTTGCCTCGTGCAGGATCGAACGCTGCGCCCGTTAACAAGTTCGCACCCAGCCGCCTTTGTCGAGATCGATGTTCTGCGAGGTACAATTCTGACGAGTAGCACCACTGCCTCGTATTTCAACCATTTGGCTAGGTTTCGGCCAGAAAGCTAAGGCATCTGGCCGTAACGTGCAGCTGGAAAGCAACATGCCATTTTTGCAACCTGGCCCGTTTTGTCAGAGCTGTTTGGGGTCAAACACTCATTTGGACGCCTGACCGCAAATCAATACGTTGTCAAGTATGGGCGTATACATTCGTGTTGGAGGACACTGTGCTCCGGCCATGCCCTTCGTTAGCTAGGATCCTGGGATAAGTCTTCCACGACAATCCCATTGTGTGTGTGTGTGTGTGTGTGTGTGTGCGTGTGTTTGTCTGCTGCTGTCTTTTGTTCACCCAAATGATACTCCCATGGGTCATTATTGATTATGTCTCTTGAAAGCTGCTCGAAGTTCCTGCTATACAATTTCGCTGCGGGTCTCATAACAGTGGAACGTCACAAATGTTTCCTTGCGAAGTATCATGTAGCTTGTCGAGGCAAGCGGGCCCCAATCCAAGGACCGGGTTCACACGCTCATATTCTCCTAACATGTGCCTAACATTTGCTTAGACAGAGGTGTTGCTATTTTTGGCACTGACAGCTAGCTTCACCAGGAAGCGCCGGATGGGCCGTATTGGCCTTTGGTGATGTTGAAATCGCCTTCCGAGTCGACCCCGCAGAATTCCCCATTTTGGCTCATTCATGGGAACCCAGATGCTTGCTCTTGGCAGGGGCACCGCGAGACCGAAGAGGAGGACGACCAAATTCATAGCTGGGAGACCCAGGAGAAGGGATTTGGGGCATGTGGGGGCATTTGGTGAGCTTTCTGAGAGCCATCAATATTCTCGGGTGCTTCTTGGGAGTGCCGTGTTTGGCGGGTTGCTCCTTGGACTGGGCCCGCAGATTTTTTTGGCTTTGGGTATGTAGGACATGAGCACGGGCCTAGCTCCGTGCTGTGAGCTTCAGGCTTTCGACCTTGCGGAAAATGACCAGTTTCCTAGCAGCTAGCCACCACTGCTGCTACTGCTATTTCTACTGCTACTACTCCTGCTACTGCTGCTGCTGCTGCTGCTCTCCTACCAATCCTACTGCTACTACTGCTGCTACTACTACTACTACTGCTGCCACTGGAAATGCTCCTACTACTGCTACTGCTACTGCAACTGCTGCCACTGCTACGGCTGTTACTACTACTCTACTGCTACGACCTACTACTACTACTACTACTATTACTACTACTACTACTACTACTACTACTACTACTACTACTACTACTACTACTACTACTACTACTACTACTACTACTACTACTACTCGACAGGCAGAGAGAGGGAGCGAGAGAGAGGGAAGGAGAAAGAGAGAAAGAGAGAGAGAGAGAGAGAGAGCGAGAGCGAGAGAGCCGAGGCATCATGTTGCTTACGGTTGTCAGTTTTCTTGTTTTGCTTGCCTGTGTTGATTCTTTAGTTGTTATCTCTCACTTTGTTCTGCAGCGCGGCTAGTGCAGCATCTTCAGATATTGGTATACAGGTGGCATGGGCGCACTGTGCGTCCATTTGACCGAGCAAAGGGGACGTTCGTCGTTTACTTGGGTTGGGATGGCCAAAAACAAATGTTTTAAAACTACATTAACAGGATTCTGGGAAGGAACATATGTTTTGACCACGTTAAGCAGCGTCCCACGTAGGAGGGCGAGTCAGCTGGTTTCAAAGGGAACCAAAGGTGGGCTTGCCCTTGGTGGAGTCTCTCAATTTTTGGGAACACCCATCTCAGATCGGTCTTAGACAGCTTCGATATTCTTTGTGAGACTCAGGCAGCGTTTCGTTCAAGATGCGAGGCGCATCTTGGGGGGAGCAGAGGGGACACCAGGGTGGTCTTATCTAGACTAGTGAATAGAATGTATGGTCTCCCGAAAGGTAAAGGTTCCTCTTGTGCCAAGCCTGGCCGGCGCGGACAGACGGATGTGTAAAGCAGCGAGTTGGACCCCACGCTTGAAAAGGGTCATGGGTTCATCTCTGCCACTCCTGCGTGCGTTCTTTGGCCGTTCTCTTCCTCCGAGCCGGAAGATGCTGCTTTGCAAACGGCTTGCACCATGGGAATCAGAGACAGGAAAGGAAGCGGGGGACAAACTCATGACCAACAAAGAACGCGCCCCTCCAACGCAACAAAACAGAACCGCTTGCAAAAGCTCTTGCTGTTGTTACTCGCGCAATTCAATTCGACGACCAAGCTTGGATAGGTTTGAAGGCTGTCTTTGTTCTGTAGTGCCATGGCCCTCACAACTTTCAGGATCTCACGTTGCAGATAAGTGCAGCCGCACAGCTCGTAGTTTGGATGCCAAAGATTTGGGTGTTCTGTGCCGTTGGGCTTACTGAAAAGGGGTAGGAATAGACTAGCAAGATTATTGTACGTTGATATCAGTTTCCCTGTGCCACTTTGCGAATTCATTCGCGTGTGCTTCAGCCCGTCCCTGATCCACCTTGCTAGTAAACGGTTTTGCAAGTGGTGTAATCGAGCTCTGGAGTTGTAACACCAGCGGCCTGCCAAATTCCCCACCTGTTGTTTGCGCGGGCCCCGAACCCCTTTCATCTATTGCTATTTGTTATTTGCGATCTTTTGTGGTTTGTTTGTTTGTTTGTTTGTTTGTTTGTTTGCCGTGTGAGGATCCACGACTAGGTTGAATGGGTCTTTTGGGTACCTAAACCTAAAGTGTGGTCAACCGCTGCCTGCTGTTGGCTTTTTGGTAGTCATGAACTCAAGGATTCTAGACCACCAAAAGGATTGCTAAGGGAACCACGATCATGACCCACGATCCATTCCCATGGCACAGCTGCTCTGGTACTTTTGCGACGCGCATGTGTACGCGTCTCTTGCCCAGGGTTTCCTTTTTTTGTTCCTCGCATCCACCATCGCCGTTTTTTCCCTTTTTTTTTCTTCTCCTTTTTTTCATCAACCGTGTTTTTTCAGCGAGCTTTGTTCTGGGTGGGTTTCCGGCATTTTTTTGAGCGAGCTTTGTGCTGGGCTGCATAAGGTTTGTGGTAGGGAAATCCCGGGAGCCCTGTGAAGGCAAGTCCGTGCACCACTCCGCCAACGTGACGCAGCTGGGCCGCACTTTTGAAGGGGTTTGGCAAGGAGCCACAAAGTGCAATCGCCATGCAACGCTTTCCAAACGGATACGTCGCATCACAGGCTTTTGGTAGCTTGCAGGTGCACTCGCTTCCCGCTGAAAGGCGTTGGACATGGAGAACCCTGTCACGAGAGTCAAGAGGGGTGTTTTCCAAGGAAGGGGGGTCCATTCATAACTAGACTGCCCTTGTGATTTCTCACTTGGTTGTGGGTGCAATCATGTTGATGCCGGGTCTTGATTGTAGCTCTGTGACTAACTGGGGGATGTGTCAACAGGTTTGGGGGCTTCTCAGATGGAAGGGGTGTCCAAACCTGCTTTGGGCATTTGGAGATGACCCAAAGCTGCTGAAACATAGTCACTTAGAACGAACCTTCAGAAGCATTCTGGAAAATGGTTTGGCTGTTCTTTTGTGGATTCCACCTGCTTTCACAGTTGGTACCCTTTTCGCATTCCGCGGATGCCCTTGAGGGCATCGCAAACCGTACGCAAGCCCTAAAGCGCGAAGCTGTCACGAGCAGCTTCAAGTCAAGGCATTCGACTCACAGACAAATGTTCCTTCGTTCCATCCATACGGGGTCCTGAAATAGGGCGAGCCTACAGTTTCCAGGTTTCCCGTTGCTTTCCCATGACGTATCACGTAACCCCTTTAGCTGGACGCCCGCATGTAGCGTTTTGGGTCTGGTTGGCTTCGCCAGGCACTGAGTTGAGCTGGGCCCCCTGCCACAGGTTTTCATGGAGAACTGCGAAGCCGTCCTGGTCCAGGCGCGGCCAGAGCCCTGCGAGCATCACCGGCGTGTCAGGCATGGTGGATGGGCCTTTGTGGTTAAAACGCAAGGTAGCAAAGGCTCATGGCTTGCCAACGAGGCGCGCAGACCATTTTTGGCTCAACACAGGCAACCTTCAGACTGCGTCGGGCAGGCTCGCGCTGATCCAACTAAGAGCGCGGACAAACGTGATAGCTTGTAGTCAAAGTATCGTACTGGGCGCAGCTCGCAGCGAACCTGTCCAGCCATGGCTGAAGGACACCGTCCCCGCCCGCCCGCGCCCCTGCCGCGTCCACTCACGCACGTGCACGCGCGCACGTCAGCACATGCGCATGTCTACGCCGGCGCGCCCACGCTTGCACATCCACTCATTCGCGTCCACGTGCGCACGTCCATGCGCACGTCCATGCACGCGCGTCCACACAATCATGCCACGTCCACATGCGAACTTCCACGCACGCACCCTAACAGACTGCCCTTGTAAGGCAATAGTAGAGGAATGTCCACCAAGGGTCCAATTTTTCTAGTCATAAGAAGTCGAGCAGGGGAATCTTCATTTTTCCACAAATCAACGAGCAAGGGACGAACACCAGCCAGAAAAGAGACTTCCACGCCAACAGTTTACCTGGTCGACTCCTGAATCCGCCACCTGCATGGCTCCCGGCAGGGTGCTGACACGTCTCTCCGAGTCCGTCTGCATTTGGGTGCATCTGTGTCTTGGCAAAAAAGCACATTGGGGGAATGTCAAGAATATTTGATTGCCTCTAGTTTTCCTTTGCTGCCCAACGCCCAAACTGGTTGGTTGCCTTCTGGTTGGTTTGAAAGGCGTGCCATTTGCCAACCAACCAACTTGGGGATCCTGTAATGTTGAGACAAACAATGTAGGGAGTCCACTTCACCATGCATGAAAAACAACACGGGAGGCAGGTTAGAACTTGTTGCTGCAAAAGAATGCCAGAGCACTTAAAGGGGCCAGGAAAGGGAAATGGTTAGTTGGGGTACTGCGCGTGTTGTTCAAATAGAATTGAAGGGAGCGGCTTCCCAGTTTTGGGCAACGTTTTGGCCCCGAAAGATTGACCTGGGCAAAGTTAACAGTGACCTTATCAAGGATGAGCCGTGCTAGTCTGCTTCCTTTCTTAGGGTTGTTAGAAATTTCGAACATTCACCTGAATTACATGCTGCAGCTCCAGATCGGAAATACCGTCAGGCCGAGGCAAATTTTACGGAGTCCTGAGGGAGTGGGTAGTTGAGAGTCGTAGGGTTTTAGGGAGCTTAGGGAAGCCCCCCTTGGACCACCCCCCCTTTCAGGCACTCAATAATAATTTGTGCCCTTCCTCTGGTGAGGCTCCTGCCCATGGCCCTGGCCAACCTTCTGGGTGCCTTGCTGTGCGTCGACCCGGAGGCGGGCAGGTCGTTGGCGTGACGAATCAGGCACCCTCCAAACATGGGACAGGACCCAGTCTTCCAACAAAACCCTGTGAGCTTCCCGCGGTTTTCGTGGTGGGAGGGCAGCCCTTCAGCGGTTTCGATGGCTAGTTTGGGGATTCGAGCTGTCAGGTGTCACAAACAAAATGGGACGTTAGCCCCCAAGCCTCGAAGCCACCAATCTACGTCACGGTTGGTGACCTTGCTGTCCCGACTGGCGCAGGTGTCAATTTCAATCTCCCTATGCACTGCTAGACCACCTCGCCTCATGCCAGATGCGTTGCCTTGTAATGCAGGCAAAGCGGGAAACTTTGTGCGTCAAAGATAGCTTCTCACCCAGTTATCGTTGAGTAGGATGAACACGAGCGCACGAGCGTGGTGGGGCCCGGGGTTGTTTGCAGCTGGTTTGAAACTTCGGCTCGACTTCCCCTGGATTGTGGTGGTTGTATGGGGCTCTCAAACATAGACCCCAAGAAGGCACCCTCCCTTAGACGCTTTGCAGGTGTAGGATCATAGCATTCTCTGAGAGCCAAACTCCAGCCTTTGTTGCCCAGTTCTTCTCGGTCGCCGTAGTGGACTACCCCAGGCCGGCCAGAGCCTCAGCGACAAGGAGGGTGTGTTGCTGACGGAATGTGTTACACCGTGGTTAAGCACCGAAGCATTGGCTCGAATCGAGCCTGTAGTCTTTGGAATGGGGGTTCAAGTCAAACACGTGCACCTTCCGGTTCCTGTGCTCATTTCAGGTTGCCACCTTCTGTTTTGAGGTTTTTCGGGAAGCCCCAAACTTGAGCAAGCAAAGAGCCATGGTTGAAATGGACCCCAACTTCCCAGTTTCCAATTCCCAGGTCCCTTTGGGTTGTGAAAACCCCAACCGGACTCGGCACAAGCCCCGGAACCCGAGATCGCGGTGCAGCTGGCGGACTTCGGGGTGCAGTGCTCCCAGGGCATTCACACCCTGTGGACCATACTGTCCCTCACAGGTGGGGAGACCCAGGGCTTCCACTTGCTTGAGTGGCCATTGCTCGCTTGAAAGGGACGCCAGATGGACACCCCCATGTTTTTGGGTCCTCGCTTGACACATACCCACTTCTGGATTGCCCGGAGGTACACTTCATCCCAGGGGTCCGGATAAATCCACCTGGGTCTTAGTCAAAGAATGGAACCCTGGGAGACTTGACTCCAGGCGGGATTAATGGGAGCGACGATTTCTCTCTTGGGAGGGATGGACCAAACAATCATATGGGCATTCGGGGCAGATCTGGAACTCACAAGAACGCCCGATCCCATTCCTCGCACGATCCGGGGCGAGTAGTCTAGTCGCAGGACCTTTCGCGCTTTGATTCGCGGTTTGATCCGCGATTTGATCCCCGCTCGCCAACAGCTGCGCCCGCGTGTCCAGCCATTCCGCTCGATCCGCTCGGTTGGTAGGGTTGAAGCATTCTGGCTAGAAAAGCTGTGTATTTGAGAGCAATTGGTTGACTTGACTGCAGGATCAAATTTCATCAATCGCTGGACACTGGCAAGTTGTTCTCTTTATTCCCTGGAAAAGCCAACACGTACAAACGAGAACTGTCAGTTGTTTGTTCCATATTCCCTGGAAAACAAGAAGAACACTATCGGCAGTTGCACCATGTGGCCCGTTGATGGGGGCCGAAAGATGGAAGCCACATGAGAGGCATACTCCTGTACGCCCTGGGGCCGTGGCCTCGACTCTGGAGCAACCCCTTGAAGGAACCAAAACGGGCCAGCCTTGTTGATTTTCTTGCGGAGCACCTTGGGCACCAACGGAAAACGGAGGCCCTGCGGAACCTGCATGGCCCCTTGCCAACGTGCCAACGAAACCCGGCGCGCTCACGGGAGCTCAAGAGAACCGCTCCGCGCTCCGGTGCCTTGCGCCTTAGGATCCCCGCAGCCCTGGTGGCGCTCATCCATGCCTTGCGCCTTTGCTGGCAGTTCATGACGCATGGGGCCATTCGTCTCATGACTAGTGCCACTCATTCCCTTGCCAGGCGGGTGTGATGTGTTTTGAGGATACTCTTTGTTTCATGCGCCCCTTGCATCCTTGTGACTGAAGGCAGGTGAAGCGTTACTGAACTTGTCAGAAAAGGGTTGGGCGCATGTCCGTTGTCGTTTTTCGCATTATGCCCAGTTTTCAGAACATGTTTTCATACAAGCGATTAGTTCGGTTTGTCGTGTCTGTTATGGCTTGAACCAGTGCCGTGTTGGGTCCAGCTTTTTGTCATGACATTTGGAAGATTGCGCCTCGTGGAGATGGACAAATCGCGCCGGAAGCTGCGATTGTTGGTGAGGTTCAAGGAGGACTCTGCCGACTCTCATCGTGCCTTCGGATATCTTTTGGACGGATCCAGGCAGGATGGGGCAAAGGCACGTGGAAGCCAAGACCAATATTGCAATTATCAGTACAGATAGTCGCCATCAATACGGTAGTCAGACAATCACAGTGTTCCTAGCATCATCCCATCATGACCAACAAGAGCATCACAAAAGCAACAGGTGTATCAAACGCAGCAGCCTTGTTGACGACAGCAGTCAACAGCTGGGGGTTCTACAACAACCTCATTTCAAGCCATGATTTGCCAGGGCGTAGATACCAGCCCCAGGCCCCGTGACTAGGTAGACAAGCCGTGGACTAGTGGTCTTTGGGTGGTTGGGGAGCTAGAAACTTGTTCTTCATCCGCAAACCAAAGAGTTTATTTCCAAAAAGGTCAGCAAAGAACAGGTCCAACTGGGGCAAGGTGTCACGGTTCCGTTTCTGGCTTTGGCGGGTGGCTTGCCTTTTTTGCGGTTTCTTGTGGGAGTGTAGCAATCGGATGCAGCATATCGCTGCAGGGCCAAGAGGTAAATGCCATACCTTTCCACATGACTCCAGCCAGTGCGGACTTCTTCTACATCCAGCTGGTCATCATCTTGCTGATGGCATTTGAGCAGCAGACAGGGAAAGGGGGGGGACAGAGAGAGAGAGAGAGAGAGAGAGAGAGAGAGAGAGAGCGAGAGACAGAGAGAGAGAGAGAGCGAAAAATCAAGAAGAGCGGCACCTAGCTTCTTCTTTTCTTCGCGAGAAGTCCAACTTGAACCTCAGATAACGCTTTGCTGCAAGTCTTATTGCAACACCATCAGGCAAGTGGTTCAAATTCGATACTCTCGCTCGGTGAGAGTCGAGAGGGTGCAGCATGTGATGAAACCAGGAGCAGAGATGTCATATGTACATAGCAAAGACGAGATTTGTGTTTCTCAAAATACGGGCAGCCCTAAAAGGGTCTATTCCCGTCTCATTGTAATTTAAGCACCAACCAGGTGGTTCGCCATTTTGAGACACCCCCATATAACGAGGTACAGTGGGTGTTGTCTCAGATAGGTTGAAGCTTGACAAGGGATGGCAGGAGCCGGAATTTTGTGAACCAAAACACAAACTGCACGGACGGAGGCCTTTTCCCCCCCTGCTCAGCTATAAAGCAATCGGCAGAAACCAGGGTTGTGGGATCAAGGGGTTTTCTCCCCACTGTGACACAAGGGAATCCCCCTTAGTAACAAAACAAGGTCTTTGGGAAGCCGTTTCCGCTGTATCACAGAAGTGGTCATTCCCCACAGCCCTGTTGCTGAGTGCACGCAAAGGGGGGTGGTTTGAAGGCTCTGTGTGTGTGCTTGTAGAAAGCGGCCCCTAAAGAGGGGGTGGTTTAAAGGGACCCAAAGAGCCCCATTTTCACTCATTCGCGATGTTCACGCTTTGGTGTTGGTTGGCTTGGGCAATTTCTGTGTTGCATGCATGGCACAGCGGCACTATCACGCACATTCCCTGAAGTGTATAGTTATGCGCTTGGCTGAGGTGGCTCGGCCGACCAGTGGCAACTTGCAGGCGTCCTTTTTTCAACAGACCTGAAGCCGGACAGGATTCCTTTTCAAGAAGTCTTCCGAACCCTCCGAGTCAGCTTGGTACGGTTAGTTGTTTTTGGGTGTTTTTGGGAGGGGAGCTGACGAGATGAGATTCAGGCATCGAGCCTCGTCTTTGGCAACTACCTGACCCTTGGCACTCTCTTTCGCGTGGTGTGCTGCTTGACTCATTGGGTAAGTGAGCCGCTTTTGACGGATGGGCGTCTTTGAGCTTCATTTGTATCCACTGATTCGACAGATTAGCTCTGCGACACCTCCTCGTTGAACTTTGACTCGCACGCTTCTTTCTTCAGACAGGCTGCGGTCTCCAAGCTGGGCTTAGCGGCTTGTCACTGCCGCACTCTTTTAAGATCCGAGCGTCCAAGAGTATTCGGACGTGGCTGTAAGAAATCAGTTTTGGGCAGCTGAGGGTTGCTGGGTGTCTACAGCAGCTACTCCCTGGTGATTAGTGCCATCAAGCCCTTCGACGCCCGAGACAAGAATGCACGGGCCTCGGTCGGCGCGAGACCCCTGCGCGTGGATGTGGGTGGCCCATGTATTCGGAAGACGAGGAGCAGGATAATCGGTTACTCTTCCTGGAGGCTTTTCCGTTTTCCAAGCCCCCGAATGCGAAGTGGGCCGGATGCCACCTGCTTGGCAACATCCACCTGGGGGGGTGGTCAATGGAAGATGCTTGAACCAATTTGAAGGCATCAAAACTTCGGATGCGTTGACACAACGTGGCAGTCAGTCACCGGGCACGCCCCTGGCTGAGGTTTTGCTCCGGTTGGAGTTGACAAGCGACTTGGCTTCGAGAACATCAGCGGGCGAGAACATCAGCGGGCGGGCCGAAATCGGATGGGTTTCCGGGGTGCTTTGCAAGGTTGGGATCTTGCCCCTTTGACATGACTACATTCAACCATCGCGCTGTGCAAAACTCAGACCCAAGGGACCAAGGACCCAAGGGCCTTGTTTTGGACGAAAAGCGGAGGCATGGCGTGCCAGAAAGTGCTCTTGGTGGGCCGCATCCTGCAATCCAACTGGCCACTTGGCGAGAGAAGGGCATGCCACGCTTGGTGTGGCTGTGGGACACAGTCAGCTTGGGACCCAAAACACGAGGCCTCAGAAAGGCGACGTTTGTTGAGTGGGCCAGAAAGTTAGATTGCTTCGCTGCTTCCTCTTTGGTTTTGATTCGGATCAGACCCCCTCTCCTCTTTTTCCCGGAATCTTTCCTTGCCATGGGGCCCCGCGTGTTGTGGGCGCTGGCGGCCTTGGGTACCGCGGACGCGGCCAACCGCTCCTTCCGCGCTGCGGTGGGTGTGACAGCGCAGGGGGTGCAATGTGGCGCCCTCGACCTCCCGGAGAATGCCAATTGCAAGGAGCCCGAAGCTGCTTCGGACACAGGTTCGATAGCTAAGGAGGGCAAAGGTCCAAAGGATCTCTTCTCTCCCTGCACATTTATCGTTTGAGTCAGTTTGATGGGGCAAAGTGCTTGAAGCTCTTGCGCGTGGAACGCCAGACTCGCCAGGAGGTGGTGGAGTGGGCGGCCGGCGGCGGCAAATGGGACACCAGCGCAGGCAGCTGGTACCGAAACATGCCCAGCATCGCGGGGGTGGACCATGAGCAGGCCACACTGCAGGACGCAACTTTTGCAAAGTAAGGGGAGGCAACGTTTGGCCTGCCCTGCAGCTGCCGATTTTCCAGCCGGTTTCTGTGCAGGATTTCCAGCGCCTCTACTACTGCGCCCCGCCGGGGGCCAAGAACTTCTGTGGGCTGCCGCCCTGCACTGGCTGCAGCAACCCGCCCTGCACGGACTGCTTCGCCGGGAACCAGATCTACGCCTCCATGCGCCCGGGCTGCGACGGCAACAACCGAGGCAGGGCGGAGGGTCGGAGGGTTGGGGGGGTTGGGGGTCGGCAAAGAGATCCCAGATACACCAAGTTGCTTGATGCGTTTCATCAGTTCTGTGGCAAGGTTGCGAATTGCTAGGCACTTGCCCCTGGCCGCTGGTTATTTTGCTTAATTACGGATTTGGCCACGCGTTCTCCCGCCCGGCCCATTCTCGAACCCAACCTATTGGAAACAGAGAAAACAGCTGAGGGCGGAGCCGAGTGGCTGGGTGACTGAGCACTGGTTGCTAGTGAATCATCCGTGCACTGGTTCAAGCTCTTGTCGGGTCTTGTGGTGGAGATGGTGGAGCGAAGTACCGGCGGACTTCTTTGCCCCAGGAAAGGAAAGCACTGGAAAGCGGCAAACCATGTCGGATTTGATCAGTACCAGCAAGTATGTTCTCCGTACTACCGCTCTTGTTCGCGAGGCATTGGCTGCGTTCCGCCAAAGACGACCATGGGATACAAGGGCCAGCACTGGCCTACCACCACCATCCATGGCACACAGGACGGGGCCACCGCTGCCATGCACGTCGCTCATGCACGTCGCTCATGCTCGATTTTGACTTGCTCAGAAGGCCTGAATGAGATGCATGTTCATTTGCTTCGGGCAAGGAGATGCACATCTTTGCCATCGGGGACTGGGGCGGCATGGACGGGTCGCTGGACACTGCCCAGGGCCGGCCCAATATCGTGGCGTACGACTGGGGCCGCCGGCCGGGGCCCAGCGTGTTCCCGCGCAGCCGCTGGAACAAGGCCCACACCGTCGAGTACTGCGGCCACAAGGACCCGGGGGGGGATTCGGGGGAGACATGCGGCGTTTGCATGGGCTTGCGTGTGGCCTTGTGAATTCGGACATGTCCTTGGGCATAGATTGCTGATAGGTTGCCAGCCTCGCAGCCTCGCAGGCCCCCGGTGTTTGACAATCCGAGCCAACGGCCAAGGCCACGAGCGAGCGCTGAGCGGTTGAGCCACTGCTTCTGTATCGGGTCGCCCCCGAGGAGCTGGTGCAATGCTTCAACAGCCGTGGCCAGCCCCCGTGCATCCCGGAGTGCGGCTACGTTGCAGGCGTGGACGACCAGCCCCAGATCTTGGTGGCCAATGCCTTCAAAGCCAGGGCCGCGCTGAAGGATCCCCAGCACCTCAGCCCCGATCAGTCAGGGACGGGCGTATTTGTTCGGCTTTGAGAGAGGGCGATGCAGTGTGGTGGTGGGGGTCGCTGTGTTCAAGTGTACTTTCACCGGCCGGGCCAGCCCTTTGCCAAGTTTTGCATAGCCCAGGTACATCCTGAATGTGGGGGACAACTTCTACTGGGGAGGCATCGAGAAGACTTGTGGGTTTCCCATGAACAAGATCTCCTACCCAACGAAGCACCAGTTCGATCAGGTTTTCGAAGGCATCTACCAGGGCCCGGGTCTCAGCAACAAGCCTTGGTTCAGTGTTCTGGGCAACCACGACTGGGGTGGCTTCAAGTTTGACAACGCCTGGGACCAGCAGATGTCTTATACCTGGGCCAGCAACCGCTGGGTGATGCCTGCCCCGTACTACTCCACCTCCGTGGTCTATGCGGACCTTGGCTTCAGCGTGGACTACTACTTCTTGGACTCCAACTTTGTTGACGCAAAGCCCCCAGAGGAGGATCCCAACCACAACATGTGCAGCCGAGCGAACAACCGCCCTGGCGCCACCTGCGCTGCTGCGGATGGGCCGACTTCTGTTGACACCTGCCCGGGATGGTTTGCGGCTTTGTGGACGGAGCAGAAGGACATTCGAAAATTGCGTGATTTGGAGGGGCGGCAGGGTCAGCAGATGAACAGGACCCCTTTGTCTCTGTTGGCTGGATGCAAGCAAGGAGCTTAGCTTGAAGTACTGCATTTCGATAGGTCTGCAAGCAAAGGGCATCAAGAGCAACATGCTGGTCCCGGTGATATGCTGTTTCGTTTTCTGTGCTCAGCTGGTCGACCTGTGAGCGTGCGGTATGCAGGAGTGGGTCACCCGGATCTTGCCGAAGAGCCGGGCGGACTGGCAGATCGCGGTGACCCACTTCCCCTGCGGCCATGAGCAGGGCTTCTACAAGTCCCTGAAGAACCAGGGCTTGGACCTCCTGGTCACCGGCCACCGCCACGACCAGGACAGAGGTGGCACGCGCTTGCATGGCTGCATGGCTGCGTGGCCAACGCGGGGCATGACTCACGCGGGGCATGACTCACGCATGACATGGAGTGGGAACGTTTGAGATAAAACATCCAGTGACCTCAAAAGATCGCGCTCCGCCTGCCAGGAGCTGTGGTTCCCGGACGACTTCGCCAAGAACCACATGGGCCTCACCTGCATCGTCACGGGCGGTGGCGGGGGGATCACCTCTGAGGCGACCCCGGACCCTGACAACACCGAGGACTGGTACGGGGAGGCGCAGCACCCTGGCTTCTGTATTTAGCTTTATTTGAAACCGCTTCAAAATGTTTGGACAGCAATGATCCCCATGAAAATGATCCTCACCAAAGGGCCCGAAGTACAACTCACACCCAGATGAGCGGACTCTCTCTAAACTTCCTCCGCATTTTGTAGCTCCGGACTTTTTTGGTTGCGGAATCATGCCACAATGCACCCTGACAAGCATGATCTCACACCGGACAAAATACTGACGAACCCGACCAACACAAACATACTACAAGTAGAAAACTTTAGAGCCTCCGGCTCAGTCCGCCGACATTGTCCTCTCCCTTTTCTCCTTCTTCCTCTCTCCCTTGTCTTTCTCGTGTGTTCTGTCGTCCTCTCTCCCTCACTCTGCTCCCCATCCTCCCCATCCCCCCAAGCCTCTCTCTCCTCAATCTCCCTCTCTCTCTCTCTCTGTCTCTCTCTCTCTCTCTCTCGCTGTCTCTGTTTCTCTGTCTCTTTCTGTCTCCCTGTCTCCTTCCTGTCCACGCCCCTCTACAGAAAAAGGGTACCTCTCTACTCTCTCACTGTCTCGCTCTTTCTCTCTGTCTCTCTCTCTCTCTCTCTCTCTGTCTTTCTGTGTTTCTTTTTCTCAGTCTCTTTCTCTCTCTCTCTCTCTTTCTCACTCTCTGTGTCTCGCTCTCTCTCTCTCTCTCTCTCTCTCTCTCTCTCTCCCTCTCTCTCTCCCGCTCTCTCCCTGTCTCTCTCTCTCTCTCTCTCTCTGCATTGCAGCGTCAGTCCCCCCTGAGTTGCCTTGATGTCCGGGCACTGCCCCTGCATGACCCTGAGCTGTCATCTCACTACTGGCTTTCCCCTTGATTTCCCCTTCGTGTCCTTTTCACGTTTCCCATGATGTCCTGGTCCTGTCCCTTCCATGCCTTTCAACTCCCCCGTTCTTTCGTTGCGAGTCATATCCCTACATCTCCCGTCGTGCCGATTGGTTTCCTTGTGCTTTGTTTCCCTTTCATTCCCCCTGCACTCCCCTTGTTTTCATTGCTGTCCCCTGCATGTCCCTTTCAGTTCCCCTTTGTTTCCCTGTCATGTCCCGCTGCTTTCCTGTCATGTCGACTTCCTATTTCCTCCCCTCATTTCCTTGCACTTCCTTGCATTTCCCCTTTGCTCCCCAATATTTCCCGCAAAAGAACACAGCTTTTCCATCGTTTTCGCAATTAGGACATCCAAAAACACAGAGTTTTTCCAGATTTTCGGCAAAAGGAGGCAGGAACCCCAAACCAGCAAAGAGCCGGCAGGGGGAATCGAGCCTGGGACCCCAGTTTTGCGACACCGGCTCCCCGAAGACTACGCTTAGTGGAACGTCATCAAATTGCCGCGCGGTCCTTGGGGGGGGGGGTGGGGGGTAGCACGTATCAGACGTCGGGCGGGGGGGGGTTAGGGGGGGGGTTATCCTCTAGCCTCTCTTAGGTGTCCGACACGCCAAGCAATGTCGGCGGATACATATTAGAGAATACGGGAACATCCGCACAAATACTGAAAATAGAAAGGCAAACATAACATGAACAGCGCCCCCCATCCTTAACAAATGGGTAAAGTATGCGTGCGCAGTCTCAAGCATAGTTTCAGGCGTCTCGCCGCCATTCTATAAGTCGCTTCAATTGCGTGTCGAGTTGGGGGGTTTGGCCATTTGAGGTTCGGTGACGATATCAGTACGTTTCATTTGGGAGCGACACGGAACTCCAATTTTTCAAACCAGGGGACTCACCAATGTCCCTACTTGCAGAAACCTGAGATTTTCTTTGTTCCGCTCACCCAACGGTGCCCTTTGCTTGCCCAAATCGGCAGCTTATATGCGGCACGCAGAGAATTGCCGGAGATCGCAAGTCAATTTACGCGCTTCGCTGCTAGTCGCGACTCTTTGCTCTCTGGAAGTGTGCTTCCGCCAAATGATTTAATGCCAATCCTGGGCTCTGGTATTGACGCAGAATTCCTGCCCTGAAGGCATAATGGACCCTTTAGAAAACTTCAATGCAGGCATACAACGTTGTGTCCCTTGACCCCTCGCAGGGTCAGCTCAGGTATGGATTTTACGACCTGACCATCAGCAAGTCGGAGATCTTTATCGAATCTGTGAACTACGACGGCGAGGTGTTGCTGACCCACACCGTCTACCCGTCGTAGGGGAACTGTGAGAGGGGACTAATTCGTGCGGAGGCAAAGTTCACATGTGATTCAGGCCAGCCTGAACCCCACTTTTGCGGCTTCGCCTCCCAAAAGCAGCATGGCTCTTTTCCATTGGCCCACACACGTTGGGCCGCCGAATTCGGCCAGCTCCAGTCTAGGCTGGAGCCGGAGAATTTTGGTGGACGAGGATCCACGCCTTAGCTTCCGGACCAGTGAACCAGGGTGCTGGACTGGTCAGAGCAGAAAGCTGGGAAGGCCTGCTTCGGGTATTTTGAGTTGGTGGCAACTGGAGGATGTCGAACTGATCTTTACAGTCCGAGCATTGTTGGAGCATGACCAGCGATTGGCCAATGCTATGAGTGTTATCACCCCATGAGAACATCAAATTCTCATGGAAGACTGTTGCAATGTTCATCAGGGATCAGCAGCTGCAACTAAAGCCAAAGTACGTGTACACGGAAGCCGTCACTGAAATGCTGTTGGCTGACGAGCTTTCTTGCTTGGTTGGTTGTGGTAAGGACAAGAGCTGCCCGGCAATTGCCAACGCGAGACTTACAGTGCGACCGCACACCCCCTGCCCAGGCAGCGCAGACCCCCCCAGGAGAACACGAATCGTTGTGCAGCTCACGGTTCGGATCAACTCTTCCTAGCCTTCATGTTCCTGGCGCCAGGAGTATGTCTTTTCCGCCAAGCCTAGGCTACTCAGTTGTCAATCTGGTGGGTGCAAGTGCCAACCTGACACGGGTTCAGACACTGGAGTTGTCAAAACTGGGAGAACCCATTGCTTAAGCCAGCCTTTGACATACCCAATCATTCAGCATCGCAAGAGACAGAGTGAAAAGCGAAACGTAAGGGAAAGAAACCGATTCCCCCTGAAACCGCACGAAGCGAAGCGACAGTCGGCCAAGGGCGCCTCTGCTGGCGGCGGGAATGCCCAAGGCTCTGATCGAGGCGTAGCGCTGCCTTACAGCTCAAAGCCCCAGGTTCCATTTTGATTGGGTTTTTGCTGATGGTACCCCGTCCAGGTTGGTTTTACAGGAAGCCAAGAGGAAAGCTACCATCTGGGGGTCCCCTCTGTTTTGACACATACCTTTTTCGTGGCATGGGTTTATTCTCCCAGAAACGTGGAACCCGAAAGAGGGCTCCTCTTGCCGGAAAATTGTCTTCAAATGTCTTCAACTTTCCAGGTTGCTTTGGAATCAATATATATATATATAACATACATATATATATATACATACATATTGCCATTGGCAGGGATGTGGCTTCTCGCCACTACTTCCCGTCCTTCTGTGCTCGCATGTTTTTACCAGCTGAAGACCTCGCAAGCCTTACTTGCGGGCTTGCTTAGTATCTCTTGGTTAGCGTTGGGAGCTGAAAGGCAGTCGCTTTTGGTGCTTTCTGGTGGGCCGTTTTTGTTTAAGGGTCCCTTCCATCAAAGGGACCAAACGTGGATTTCCAATGTTAAGCTCGATGGCTCCCGGGAAACGCAAAGGTGTGTTTGTTGTTTGTTGAAGCAGGCGCATCTGGCTTGCTGGGAAGGCCTCTTTTGCAGGTGCCTTGGACTGCCATGCACTTCTTGTTCGTACTGGGGGTGATGAAGGGGGTGATCAACAACTCCGCCCCTCGGCCTGAGAGACCCGGAAGAAACAGGCTGAAGGGAAAGCGCTTGACTCAGGGACGCGCTCGTCATGCTGGTCTTGTATCAGCAGTCAGGGGTTGGGGCGGGTGCGCGGGTGAAGAGGGGCCGGCCACAGGCTTATGCGCCTGCCAAGCCGCATCTTGTGAAATCTGGCATGGTTTTGTGTGTCCCAACTACTAACAACCGCCAATTTTGTGCAATAATTCCATGACCCAGGTGTGGGGTGACCCTATGGTGCCCCAAAAAGGCCTCATAAGGTCACATTTTTTGTGTGAGTGGCATTTTGGGGGACCTGACATGAGATGGCTCGTGTGGATGTAAACCACTGACCTCGACCCATCACCGACTGCAGCCTTACTCAACGCTAGTGAAATCCCGAGTCTATTCCCACCCTCAAGCAGCATCGTGAACCTGGTTTGCCACACCATCCACACCCTACCGCTTGAATGCACACCTTTGCTTCTCTCGCACACACTTGCTCCCTGGCTTTTGGCTGGCTTAGATCTTCTTGAGGGTGGGTCTTGTGGTTTGGGATTGATTTAGGAAGGGCTGACATCCAGGCTGCTGTTGGGCGGGTTTGGGGTTGACTTTGAGTGGGTTTGGGTTGGTTTGGAGCTGATTTGTGTTAGGTGTGCTGCTGGTTTAGCAGCGGCTTTAGGGTTGCTTTAGGGTGTGGTTAAGTCAGTTGTGGACGAGTTTTGGTCAAGTTTTGGTCATTTGGGGCAACGCCCCAAAACCGATCCGAAACGAGACCAAAACTCACTTAACCACACCTGAAGCAACCCTAAAGCCTCTGCTAAACCAGACAAAACATGCCCACGCGTTGCTCTGGTGGTTCCGTGTTGCAACTCATAGCCAGATGTCGCTTCCAGTCCGCCTTACAGTTGGGGAGTACTATAGCCTGCCCCTTGAAACGATCAAACAAGGGGTCTTTCGTTTTCCAGATTCAGATGTCCCTTCTTTCTTCCAGAAGTTCGCGGGAAGCGTCGTTTGGCGGAGTCCTGTAGGGGTGCAAACCCCCGTGAGTCTGCGTGAGGTTTTGAAGAGGATCATGTGACTTGGCGGCATGGGCGAATGATCCCACGATGTGAAGATGCGAAGACGATTGGCTGAAGTCAACAAGAAGGGGTGGAAGAATCACTTTCGCTTGAACATTTCTTTGTGCACCTTGATGATGGTTGGAAAGAGGGTACCGCATAGGGGTAGCCTGCCAGAACAGACGTCTGTGGTTCAATGATATTAACCTGACTTGGAGAATTTGTCCTTTGAAGGCACCCTTTGTCAGGTTCCACGATTGGCGCTCGCTCCCAGCGAGTTGCGGTGCAAGAGAGACATGGTGCCATGTTGTTCAGCTGAGCAGGGTGTTTCTATGACTTTCCTTGCCATTCTGGCTTGAACGCCGAGTTGGTGGAGATGGCTCAGCAAAGCGCTGGTTCTCTTTGTGCGGTTTGGCGGCCCTAATGAGCAGAGATCAGGGCGAAGGAGTTGGCAGCAAGCATAGCTGTCCTTAGACCAGTTTGGTTGAACATGGCAATGTTTTTTGATTGGTTCCATTCATTTGCTAGTGCACGGTACTTTCCAGTTGCAACAAGTACACATCAGCGTGGTTCCTCACTTGAAGAGGTGCCTCCAGAATTGCTTCGGCACGCTTGACGCCCAAGGCTCTTTTACATGTGTTCGGTTCCCCTTGCGCCGCTGGCATGCCTCCAGGCAGACCGCTCAGATACGCGTAAATATTTAGTTCTGGGTCGACAGGAAGCTAGGGATCGATTTGGGCTGTTCGTCTCGGTTGACTCGGTGCAGGTATGTAACTGCGGTGGAGGATCTCACCACCCCAGAGAGGTGGATCTTCGATTTCATGGGCATGGACCGCGAGAAGGCATCGGTCTGCGAAGGTTTTCGCTGGTGATGGGCTTGCAGGGGTTCCACCCTGAGCCCCAAGCCCCTACCGCTCCTTGGGGCAAACGGGGTAAAAAGTCGTTATTCGGTGGCTACACAGGGCTCATACCTCATTTCCTGGACACCATTTGATGTTGGATGCTGATGGAGCTTGGGTAATGGAACCCCGGATCAACGAGTACGTTGGATGGCCAAGCTGAAACCATCGCGACCAGCAAGGCGCCTTGACATGAGTTGCACCCAGTGCCATGCTAGGCACCCCAGTGTACCCCAGGTTAATCAACCTGGCAGATTCGTAAGAGTGCGTTGGGCACCGAATTTGTAACAAGCACTCTGACAAACGCGTTTTCAGGCAGCCACCCAGAGAGACTCCTGTACGTGCCTCGCCAGGGTGGCCAAGAAACTAGGGAGACCAAACCAGAAGCTCTGATACAGTGTTCTGCAAAGCTCCTTGCGCTCCGGCCAGGTGAAACTTGTGCCTGCCTGAGTTGGCAGACTGCATGCTAGCGTCCAGTGAAATGCCTCTAGGAGGACATGAGGTGCGGTCAAATTTATTCTCAGAACCCCTCTAAGAACCCTTCTGAGCAGGTTGTAAGGGGGGGCCATGGGTGGGCTGTGATCGAGGACCCCGAGAACCGAGTAGGCAGAGAAGATGTGCGGCAAGATCAAGCTTGGGCAATGGAACCAAGGATTTCCGGTTCAATTATAGGGGTGACCCATGTTGGACGGGAATCCGGATTGCTTGTGGGGGAAACGGATCCGCTAGGTTGACTCATTCGGGGTCAACATTAAGCCAACCAATTTGGGGCTTTCGTTTTGTTGAGGACTTGAGTTAGTACTTCATAAGATTGCACTGAAAATGCAGCTGTTGCCTTACCTGTATAGGCTAAAAACTGCAGGCTTTGAGGGGCTCAAAGCCAAAAAGTGGGGACCACCGCCCCCATTGACTACCATGTCCCATCAACCAACACAAACAGGTGTGGTTTTTTGTTTGGCATAGTTTTGACTTTACAGTTGGGGCTGCAACAAGGCATTTTTTGTTGCTACCATGCCAAGGGTTGGAACGTCGAGTAAGCCAATTCCATACACGGTTCTGATTCTTACTTGGGTGAGAGTTTCCTAAAACTCGGAACCGGAACCTTAACTTGTTGGCAGTAGAAGGCAAGCAAGTGAAAGACAACTCGTTCCCCCCCCCCAAAAAAAAATGGAGAAAAGGGGGGGCCCGGGGGGTGGCCTGTTGATGGTTGCCTGTTCTGGTTTTTATGTTCATCTCAAATCTGTGTTCCCCCTTATTCGTTTTGAAAAGAGGGTTTTTAGGGAGCTTATTTATCGTTTTCGTTAAGGTAATCACTTGGGTAAATTGTCGCCTTGTTCATTGTTGGGCTGGGGGCCGACATTTTTTTCATTTGAAAGAGTTGGCCCTTTTAGTAGTTATCAAGTTCTGGGGAGTTGGGCGGGTCGTTTGTTTTGTCGTTGCTTTCGTCATTGACAATCGTTGGTGTTCGATTCATTTGGCACGGCTCCGTCCTCACCATCGGCTTCTTCGCTTGGATGGCCGGGTTGCCCAGACAGTGAATCAAAGCATGAAACTTGCTTGATGGAAGCGCCTCTGGGTGATATCAAAAGCAGATGGTGCTTCCGCAGTGTGTGAAGTCTCAAGCTTTGGCAATGGCATTGAATCAACTTCGAAATTTGCTGAAAAAACTCACGGACGCGAATGAGCGAGACTTGGGAGCAGCCTTGTTGAGCGAATTGGCTGAGAAGCATGAGGAGACGAAGGAGGCGAAGACGGCGCAAGCGAAGCTCGTGGGATCTCTGGAGGCACGGAGATGCAGGTGTCATGTTTGTTTCCTCCGTGTTGAGTTTTGAGTCCCCACAAAAGTAAGCCGTTGTTGAGCCAGAAAACCCTGAAGGAAGTTTCCCAGCTGAAGGATGAGAAGATTCGTGACCTCTTGATACAGATGTCCAAGTACCAGAGTGTCCTTGACACCAGACCCATGCTCGAGATGGGACTTCACGAATACAGACAAAGAAAGCAAAAGCGATTGGACGGCATTACACATGTGCAGATGTGCTCCGAGTTTCAAAATGAGACCATGCTTTGCGAGAGCCATTACGGCATTGGATTGGCGCTGAATGAATGGAGCACAAGGACAGTGAAGGAGATCGAAGATGGTCTGCGTTGCAAGTTCTCCATAGATCTGAAGGAGTTTGTGAAGGCTCTGCGAGATGTGTATGGGAGTCTTTCAAGAGTCCATCATGTTACCCCCGTTTTCGCAGAGGGCTCTGGCTTCTGTATCTCTTGTACAGAGCCCCGTCTCACAGGAGCAACCGCCCTTATGATTTGCGCCCTCCGCAAGCAGGGTTGCCTGAGGCAAATCGCAGTACAAGCTCTTCTTGGCGACCACGCCATCTCAATTGAAGAGGACGGCAGTGTCAAGCCCCTGCACAATGAAACAACGTGAGTTGCAGAAGTTCTGTAAGCTAGCAAAGACATCAAAGGATGTCTCAATGAAGATGTGAATGCATTACCATCACAGCGGACAGCAGTGTGACAAAAGAGACATCCATGTGCTTCACAGCCACCGTAGGAACAATGCAGGGAACGGCATCCCCAAAATATGGGACACGGCATCCCCTTTTTTATGTTTATCATGGGACACGGCATCCCGATTTTATGGGACACGGCATCCCCTTTTTATCGGACACGGCATCCCGATTTTATGGGACACGGCATCCCCTTTTTATCGGACACGGCATCCCGATTTTATGGGGCACGGCATCCCCTTTTTCTGGGACACGGCATCCCCTTTTTATGGGACACGGCATCCCCTTTTTCTGGGACACGGTATCCCCTTTTTATGGGACACGGTATCCCCTTTGTCTGGGACACGGTATCCCCTTTTTCTGGGACGCACCAACCCCAACACACACTCCCCTCCTTTTAAGTCCCCGCATCCGCCCCGTCCTGAGGTCTGGAAGACCTGCTGTTCGAGCTCTACATGACTGCGGTCCACTAGGTTCTGGGATGAGGTGGGTTCGTCCTTGTTCCCCTTTTGAGGGTCTTAAAACAAACTAACAAATGTTTCACTGATCAACTCGGCGGGGATTTTGTATAGGTCTTCCTGTTTATGTTTGATGTATCCCTCACCCCAATCTGATTTGTTACCCGATGGCAACCGTTGAGCAGTTTCAATATGTTTCCCATTCCTAACCTTCCCACAATCCCTTTTACATAATGGTTTGGGTTTCCAAGTAGTTATGTTAGTCCATAATCTCGGCCGCTTCCGATAGTTCATGCCATACATGCAGTAGTCCACATCATGGTAACCCAGACCACTCATGAATGGTTGTTCCTTTAAAAGACCAGTCTGGGGATTTTCAATCACCCACCACTTCGGTTTGAAATAGTTGATGATTTCAAGGGTTTTTAAAACAACACTGTTAGCATACTCTATCTTTTGGACACCCGTCGTTTTCGCCCTGCTGTATTCGGTGCATGGAGGGGATGCCCACACAACATATCCTGATTGACATCAGCATTTTTCAAATCAAGGGAAATGACACTAAAACCCAAATCCCGAGCAACACGACCAACCGAGCCTGTCCCTGAAAATAATTCTAATAATTTCATATTATTAGAACTATTTAGATAATTATTTTATGGAATAATGCCCATAAGGCAGTGAATTGAAAGCATCAATATAAAACCTTTTGTTTTCATAATTACTGAGAGATTGCTTGACTTGAGACATTGAAAATAATTGATGGTTGCGACTACGAATAAAATTATATGTGATTTCGTGCTTTTTGTTTTGAAATAATGCTTCGTGATAGTTCTGATACGCCAGTTCTTTTTTCACTTTGTGTTTCACTACACCTTTTGATTTCTTATGTTCATCATCCTCACCGTGAATTGTGAAGGCATATGATTTAGGTTTTAATCCGATGAATTTTCTAATGATTTTTCCATTCACTTCGTCCTTAAACATTCCTAAGACCTTTTTATTCGTTTTGTCATGACATGGATGCTCAACAGGATAGTCGCTAAAATCCATGTGTTGCTTTATATCATTGAAATCCTTATAGACATCATCAGTCATTGTTTGAATTACATAACTGTCAGTATCAGTATAAACCAGTTTTATGTTTTCATTATACTTCTTTTTCAATACATCATAGTAAAACTGATACATATGTAATTTGCTTAAATCTAAAATACTCATTCCCAGGAAAATCGGTTTATCCAATTTTAGTTTCGCTTTAGTTTTTTGAACTCCTACCAGATTTTCATTTATAATAAATCTGTTTTTGAATGTTGGGTTATTCACACATTTTTCATATCTAACTTCATTATCCACCAGTTCAAAGTCCATATGGTTTCTTTTGTCCTCCATGGTTTTTCCATACACCGCGTTATTCATTAATTTAAATAAATCTTGCTCAAAATCGCTTTTGGCTTCTTTCCTTTTACCAGTGTTGAAGTCAATCCACGGTTTCAACCATGCCCTTTGTTGAAATTTTATTATCCTATGGACTTTGGTCATTTTCAATCCCATTTTCAAATAATACTGTAAAGTCTTGATATGAACCACATATTTTTCTTTATCCTTTAGATTTAATATTAACCAGGCTCCCGCCTGCTGCCGCCGACCCTCGGCGCATTAAGGGAAAAGTCACAAGGACCGGTCCTGAAACACGTCCGCAAACCCAGGGACCACTTATAAGATCCTCTACGACCACAAACAAGGATTAACGGAAAAGTCAGAAATAGGGCAGCTAGTCCGTTAATTACCGCTTGGGCCGGCTTGCGCCCAAGTCACTTCGAGTTGGCCCGGGAGCAGTCGCCTCTCCCGGGGTCGCCCTGAAACTGGCCCTCCCGAAGTTGACCACAAACAAGGATTAACGGAAAAGTCAGAAATAGGGCAGCTAGTCCGTTAATTACCGCTTGGGCCGGCTTGCGCCCAAGTCACTTCGAGT